TTGATAGAACTTAGCCCTGGGTGAATATTTCACTCCCAGGTGGGTGATGAACAGCACTGAAATTTGTCCATTCTTTGTGCTCCATGTATCTCAATCGCGGAGGGCAAGACTGAACATCTGTACGCGGTGTCCTCTACGAACCTGGGAGTGAAAAATTCTCCCAGAGCCAAGTTCAGTCAAACTTTGCAATATCAAAGAAGTTGGCCCACGAGGCGATGACTCAAACTACTCCGCCATGTCGTTTTTTCGCACCCAACGAGTTCGACTCCTACCCAAGTCTCAACAAGTCTACAAGTAGGACCTAGTACATCCTTATCCCAATGACCATACCTCTCGGCGACTTTCTCTGGCCTCAGTTGATCGCCAAACACACGCCCACGCCGATATTTATACCCGACGGAGGAAGCAAAGCGTGGCGCACAAATCTGGGAGACAGTTATTTCGGATGGACGTGAGAGGGATTAGGACAAGTTTACAAGACGATGCGAAGGAAGGATACAGTCTCGATGGGCGTGGAATTTTGGATTTTGGCAAGGAGTTTTACGAATTAGGCTTTGTGCGCGCCAAGGCTTCGCTCGCGAGAGTGAGTTTTTTTTTTTTTTTTTTTTTTTTTTTTTTACATTTGGTCCTAAGCTAACGCTATCTTTTCCACATTGGGTCAAGGACCGGTGGAGCCGGCAAGGATCACTGCGTACAGGCCCAACTCATTCCAACCGCATGAACTTCTACTGAAATTGTAGAAGTTAACAGCAAAATTAAAATCAAAAACATAAATCAAAAACTGAAATCAAATTTGGAAGAAATACTGTTTGGTCCGGATCCCGCGCTTCTCGCCCGTTCCCTTTCCTGCCACATCTTCCACATGACTTTTTCTTATCTCCGCTGAGAGCGAAAGACTAGTTCGCAGATACCCTGAATTCAGCTGGTATCCTGCTATATACTTTGAAGCTTTTTGTAGACTTCACCGAGGGTTGCTGTACCCTCAAACTTCTTCTTCGGATTCCAGGATTCCGAAACCCGATCCCTCGGCCATCGAGACATCCTTCGTTGAGGCCATCGTTGCCTCTTCGGCCCTTTTGGCTGCAGCCCTAAATCGAGCCACTTTCGCGAACTCCCCTTGCTGGATCTGGCGGATCCGCGCGAGCTGCTCTTTTGTCACCGGTCCGGACTTGCTGGGTCTGGCTAAGCAGGCCCGGGAATCCGATCGGTGAGGTCCCCCACAGTTTCGACACCGGGTGAGGGCCTTGCACTCTGATTCTGAGTGCATATTAGATCCGCAATTCCAGCAAGCTGGAGCGCGGGAACAACCACGGGTGGCGTGAAATTCAAGACACCGTTTGCATTGTTCGATTTTGCGACGAGGTCGGAAGAGCTTTGCAGCTCCAGAGTCGTCGAAAAGGCGGAATCCAGGTCGAGGAGCGGATTCTCGAGGAAATAGCGCTTGCCAATTTGAGTAGGGCGCCCCTGGTTTGCTAGTCCCATGAGGACGAACCAGAAAGGGAACCAACTGGGTCACTCGCGTGACTTCGTCGGCAACCATCTTTGCCGTCACGGCGATTGGGCCAGCAAGAGTTCGAATTGTCTCCGGGACGGTGGCAATTTGCATGGCAACCAGATTTGATGCTGGTTCCAGTTTGATTCCAGATTCGCTCCGTGATGTGGAGGAATCTAGGAGCTCTGTTCGAGCGAGTTCATCCTTTGCAGCTATTGCAAAGCCGGTCTTTACCCGCTGAACCAACGTGATATTGTTGGCAGCGGTTCCCAGCGCCTGAGACACCGCTAGCCTTACTCCAGCTGGAGAGAGGAGACGGTGGGGGTGGAAGTAGTCAAGGCGCAGAAAAAGTCGTGAATCGGCTTTTGTCCTCGAGTTGGCACTCTTTGCTTTGGGGGCGGGTGGTGCTGCCTTTTTTGTCGATGGCCCAGCGCTACTGACTAGGCCTGCCCGAGCTACGGTGGCCCAAGTTGTCTTTTGGGCCGGAGCCTGGATTGTTGGAGGGTTAGGAACCCTTATTTCTGGTGCCCTCGGCGGAAGAGGGTTGGCGGGGCGAGCAGGGAGAGCTGGTGGTGTGCTCCCTGGGCCAGATTGTACGAACTGGCCGATGGCTGCTCGAAGATAGACTTTGATTCCGTCTACAAATTCTTTATTATCGCCAATCGAAAGAGGCGAAAGTGCTGCTTCGACACCGCTGATTGCAGTCGAGCAGATTGCGAGTCGGGCGTTTATTTGCGTCGTGCGACGCTTTTCGGCCTCCATCACTGATTGCAGCTCTGGTGGAAACTCCATTGCTGATGTCGATGCTGCGCCTTTAGAGGCTGGCACAGCATTGTTTCCTGCAGATGATTCTGCACGTTCGGTTGTCTTTTCTCGAACAACTTCCTTTCCTTTCCTGGAGCTGCTTGCCAAAGGGGGCAGTTCGACGGGGGGTTTGGTCTTGGGTCCATTGTTTTCTGCTCTGATCGGTTCAGAATCAGTCATCTCTTGATCGGGAAGATTTGTGGACTTCCCTGGGACAAAGGCCTCACTCGCAAATAGGCTTGATAATTTTTGCGCGAGGCCAGGTGTTTTTGCAGGAGCCCTCGGGCGGACTCTCGCGTTGTCCAACATTGAGTTGGGGAGCTTTTTTCGAACAGGTGGCATGACGAAAATGCCAGTGACTCGATTACAATTTATTGAAGGGATGCGACGAGCGCGAGAGTGAGTGAGTGAGTGTTTGTGTTTATTGTGCTACTTGAGTCTATGACTATCTAGCACATTGGGCTCCTCTCTGACCCAGGCCACACCTTGTACAGTGCTCCTATCCTCTTTTGTTACTTGAAAGATCATTGATATATTCCCCTTGATGAATAGCTATTCAGCTCAGTATTTACCCGAGGAATTCAGCCACCTTTTCCACGGAACCTTCTACCCAAAAAAAATAAAAATGGTAGCAATGGAAACTGTGTGCGCGGGAAAAAGTCTCAAAAAACCTGCAGCCCCAGCCAGGCGAGGCCTAGACACCGGGACCACATGAGGTGCGCATATTCATCTACATCTCCCTTCTTTGTAACAGTCGAGGCCGACTTGATCCAGTCCGCCATCTCCGTATCGGGTGCTGGGTACGCTCCGGAAACTCATCGGATGGCTTTTCCTCCGTGATCAAGGTTTGGTGATGAGTAGAGCTCCGACCCTACCATCTGATCTGATCGTGGTTAGCTTCATGATAATGGTGATAGGGGAATGTGTTGAGAGATGAAGACGATACAGATCGCGAAAGCGATTGGGAATCCTCTTCGAAGTGAGGACTTTGTTACTCAATCTCGGCTCTGCAGACTCTACAGTGAGAGCTGGAGGTTCGTAGGGGACACCGCTGACAGGTGTTGAGAATAGTCCCCCTTCGCTCGCGAGAGTGCAGCTGACACTTTTTTTTTTTTTGCATCAGATTTAAACTGCGTATGCAGCTATCTAGCTATGACACAATATCGGAGAAAAGTACAGAATAGATGATTCAAGCAGCTTACACTATAAACACAAGCAAACGATGAAAGGTGTCGTGGTACGCCTCCTGGTGATGTTCTCTGGTATAGTTTGAGTAGCCTGGGCACCTACTCCACTTGGGAAGGAGACGTCTCGGACCATATTTCGCGCGGAGAAAAGTTGAAAGTTGAAAGATGATGGAGGCATGTTTGAAAACTCAGGGTTTTTGAGATGTTCCCCTGAGTGGGTATTCACGGATGAGGGTTGACTTGGGGTGAAAAAAAAGCCGCCATAACTTCGCAGTGGTATTTGCAAATGAAATCCGAGGCATGAGAGCTCTTCCTTCACGTTGAATCATCTATTCTGTACATTTCTTTGATATTGTGTCACAGCTAGTTAGCTGCATACGCAATTGAAATCTGATGCAAAAAAAAAAAGTATCTCAATCGTAGAACTGGCTATTATGCACGCATTTCGCACTAATTGATAACTCTGAAGCTGCACCATGTAGGGCATTATTCGGCAAATTTGAATGGAAATAACCTGGCCTACAAACGCATTGGTCCGTGATAAGCTTTGGCGCCGAAGGCGAAGGTTTTAGTGTGTGATGAGAGGTTCGATGTAATATGTACAGGGTGTTCAACGTAGAGAAGGATTGACAAGAGTATTCTACTTGCCCTAACCATCATGATGTGCTCTCACGCAGTGCCTGTATACTTTGGGCGAGTTTCCCCCTAAATTCGATAGACATTTCAGATACTTGGCTTTCTGCTGCTCCACCCAGCGTCCGATCTTGCGAGGGTAGAGATCGAGGTGATCGATTTTAATACGGAATGTGGAACGAGGCTGCCTGCGGAGGACAATTTAGCGTGGAACTAGTGGCGCTCCTAAACAATTAATGACAAGGCAATATGCACATGCGGCACATACCGCGGCAGAAGCTGACTAATCCTACCGAAGGAATCTGTATGCTGCGGAATCCCTGTCTCACCCTCGGAAATAATTCCAGGTACGAAGAGATCCCTCGGTACGCAACGACTACCAAGTGCATGACTGGAGAGCTAGCCAATTCCTTTGTCTGCCATGTTCCTCGCTCGAAATCTAAATGCTGAGTGCGTGTACAAGTTTCGGCCATCTTCTGCCCGAATCCATTTGCTCCTCGAATCACGAGAATGCGCACTCCTAATTGACTCCATTACATAGGCTGGCCGTATCTTGGTCTGGTCTTGGCTCCCAGCCATGTTACGAACAGGGGTACGGTAGTCTCGGCAACGCCGGACAATATGTGCCAGGTCTTCAAGTAAAGAGCCGTCTCAAGATCAAGCCCACCTGCAGCAAAGATGACAGCTAACCTAAAAATATGTTGTCCACAGGTTAAGCGCCATGAGGGCATGGTATATCCAACCCGGTGGAACATTTAAAATCTGCATTCGTTGCGCATTCACAGTTTGCATTGGGCTCATCGACATCGTCACGAATTTCCCAAGGGGAATAATCCGTGGTTAATCATAGTGCCACAGTGCCCCGTCAAATCCTGAATCCCAGCATGACCACTTTTGAAGTTGGACAAACACAAGGAACCGGCACCAACCTCTGCTTGATCACGTAGAAGGGGATCTCGAACGCCAATAATTCTTAAACTGCTTCGCTTCTTTCGTCTCTTGTCTTATCTGACTAGCGCAAGCCTAATAGAAGTGTTCTCGCCATCGGGATTCCAGGTGGAAATATACGTAGCACAAAAAGCCACAATGGTTTAATATCTACTTGTATTGATAGTTTTTCGGAAGATCCATGAAACACTTTATATTCCAGATGCAAACGTTATCGCTATCATATTTCCTCTAGAATCATACACATTTCATAATTATATCATTCATTTATGGCTCTGCCAAGTCTAATATCTATATCTCTAACGCCTGTGCAAAAAATATAAAGTACAGCTAAGATATGCCGCCATAAGAATCTAACGTGTGCGCGTGCTCAAACACCGATGTCTTTACGCCTGAACCCCAGCTCATAATTTCCCTAAGCCCGAGTTGTAGAAGAGATTTCGTCCTGCCTTAGTCTATGTTGCAGTGTGCGTCAATTTCTAAAAGAAGTATCTCATCGCCTACTCTCAAAGCCGCCTCTTTCGACAAAGGAATCATGTTCATGCCTAGAGTGAGTACGTCCAATCCGGGCCCCTCATCTTCTGTCCGGTAGTTCCAGATAGTTCCGTCCTGGCATTTTTTGCCATCAATGTCCGACTTTAACCTTTTTGATCTTGAGGTGCGATGAACAACATCATATTCGTAGAATCCTATTTTGATGCGACGCCAACAATTTTCGTGATAAGCGTCAGGGCCAGTTATTATGAGATTAGCTCGAAAGTTGGCAGCGGATAGACGAGGAGTCGTGCGAGTTTTTACCATTTTCGACTCAATATCACGTATACTTGCTAGGTTAACGAGATGGATAGGATACTGTAGTTCTTCAGTTGGTGCGCATATTAAAGAGTCTAAGGTCTTAACTTACGACGTCTTGGAAGCCACTGATAGGTTCAAGCTCGGGCTTACCTCCCTCAAGATTTTGGGATTGGAATTCGCTGTTATTACTTGTATTACAGAGCCTAAATAGTCCTAGCTTATTGCTGATGCCTAGGTAGTATCTCATTTCTTCTGGAATTTCGATTTCTAAATTCAGGGCTGTTATAGTCTCATTCCAAATGTTCATGTTTTCAGCTTTGTATCCGGATTTTTCGATCTGAGCAGGCGAAGGGTCATACGGGACACGAAATTCCATCTCTGGAACAGCACCTCTAAGTGCAGCACCCCATTTCGCAAAGAGTCCTCTCCAGCCAAATTCCTGGTATGGAAAGCTAATAATGATGACTCCTCCGCTTTCAACATCCTCTGCATGTGGACTGTACGTGTCCGTCGATTGATCAGGAACCCACATTTCTGTCCTCACTCTTGCAAGACGGGGGAAATCTTTCTGAGTCACACACTCCCAGGTGTGCGCAGATTTTTCTTTTTCCGGTGTGTGAAGGGCAACAGGAAATGGACTTCGAAGTTGAGCAAAGGTAAACTGACGATCGTACTCCATGCCTGTGGAAATAATTGTTCCGCGATTCAATTCAACGCCGCCGCAACCTTTGACAGGATAGATCCACAAACTTTTTAATCGCCACCACTATTTTTTGTTAGAGCGTTCGATAGAAGCAGTGATTAGAGTAGATTGAGAACAGATTTATGATAAGGTTGGGAGCAAGGAGCTTCTTACTTCTGCCGATGTCTCTTCGGACGAAGGGGGACGTCCTTCGGAAAACTTTTTATCAAATTCGTTCGCCAGATTGGTCTTGATTTTCATGCCTAGCTTTCGACATCCCTTGGGCTGTTCAGCAATTAATCGTGCCTGTTCTCTCTCATAGAGTATCACAATAATTATGAGGGGTATGCAGAAAATAAATATGGAAATATAGAGTGTAGTCGTAGAAATTACAGGAAGAGTGAATTGATTTGTTAATTTTTCGCAGAGATTGTTGAAAATGCCACGATAGGGCGTGTTTAAAAAGTACATGGTGATGGAGATATCTGAGTGAGGGTTGACGGCGCGTTGGCCAGGTTTTCAACAATTGTTCGCTGTCGTTTGAACCGTGAAACCAAACATCAATCACCTGTTTGAGGCACGGCGAAAGAGAAAGGAGCCTGGACTTCGCCGAGGTTACATGAGGGTTATGCAAAAATAAGGGTTTCCAGAGTGAAGAAACAGCCGGAGGTGGTGCACTTAGTGAACAGGAACAGGGCTAGGGATTGAAATTAATGGTTGCTTACCCTGCCCCCTTCCCCGTTCTATTCTTTGTCTTTGTATTTTTAGCGCACTGATCCGCGGACCCCTCCCGCAGTTTAAGGTTGGGGGGAGCGCGGAGAAACCGGCGCTTCCTGACGTAGTGTGACTACCAAGATATTCCATGACGTGGCCTTTCTCGAATCCCAAGTCACAGTTGACGATTCATATCTCGGCGTGAAGGTGAATTAGTTCGAGAATCAAGCTCGGACAACTGCAGTTGCATCTCTCTAATTTACTGACCAAACACGCGCTTGCCACACAAATCCGAATTCTAATCTTCCTAACTCTGGACCTTTTGTTAAATCTCCGTCAGCTCCGCGTGGCCACCGCCCTAATACGAGTAGGCCACGGGAGATATTTGTAAGTGGGAGAAGCGACTATTGATCCTCTAACCTCCGTAGACCGCATAGCACATTCGAGAAGCTAGTATCTCCAAAGACAAGTTCCACAAAAGTAGCCTCCGTTGCAGGCTTTGTTGATACTGGGCTTCTTATTTCAGGCTTTTCAGCTGAGACTACTTGAGCCTTACCAAAGCTCTTATCGACTTCATCTAACAGCCTAAGACACGTAAATCACTGTTATCTTTTAGACAGCTACTGAATGGCTTTATAGAGATCTGAAATCCCGCGAGATTCGAATGAGTAAATGCCGTCGCTAAGCGATTAGGGCGTATATTCAACCGACATCCATCTAGTTTTATCTGCTATTGCCTGTGACATTGAAAGACTGCAAAAATTTGGGTCCCCAAACGTCTACACAAGGAACCCACGCCATATCACCACCAGAGCTCTCTCATTGAAAACATGTTCTCCTTGATTTTCCCTCTACTCTTAATCCGCTAAACGTCCAGCATAAGCAAGCCATATCCTGGCCGGCAAACCGGGTAGTCTGCCGATCGAAGTTGCCCACAATAATCGATAACACTTAGCCTTTTCTTGCAATAATCAAATTGCCGACCCGATAAAGTGATTATCGAACGACTGGGTCGAGCTGTTCGTGCAAATTTTCTTTGGAGATCGACCCCTCAAGCTACAAGCTGTTTCAATACTATGATGAATCATTGAATATTCTTTCTTGGTCTCGTACAACAACGACTGATGCAAAGAGCAATAGCCTTAGCCGTATAATTTTTATTTCTCGCTTCTCAGGCCCTCCACTTACCCTTGGCTCCAGGCTCTGGCCACAAAATCTTTTGGATTCGTGTGTATGTGAAGTTTGGTTTGCTTACATGCTTGTATTCATGTGCAGCTACTAGGTGCACAACTATTTTGCTAAAGAACAATTCACATTAATCTCTGCCTTGCGCCAATAGTTCAAGCACAGGTTTCTAAGTAGGGAATGTTGTTTTGACAATTTTATCGACAAGGCGAAGAAACTATTAAAGTATCGTAATTTTATTCCGAGAGAACAATGTATCTAACAACCCTCCGCTTTGTCCGGATTTGTAGCTCTCGAATTCATGCCGGTTCTCGTCACTATTCAGACCCACAAGATCGGCTTGTAAATTTTGCAATTTTTGCGGAGTATTTAACACGGAATGGCAAATAAATGGGTTACAACAGACGATTCAAGCATTAAATTTAACTTAATCCTCATACCTCGTATTCCCTTTGACTTGGAGCAGTGAAGGATGGTCTATTTGACCCAACGACACCTAGTACTACGAGAGGCAAGGCAGATGGGTAAGGGACGCGAGGACATCTGTGCGTAGCCCACAACTCGTTTCAGAGCTCTTGCCCTAATTCGTGAGCGTCATGGTCTATTGTCATGGTGCGGGACTACACTCCTTGCAAATCGAACAGGGTCTAGCTTAGCCGTCTTGCACAACAAAACGCTCAGATTGGACAATTTAAGTAGTGTACTTGCGATGCAACTCAATTCTCGAATGTAGATGAATGATATTGGAGTTCAAAATACTTTCGATTATTTGCATCTCACCCATGCTCAAATGCGTCGCACATTTCCATCCTTCTGCTGTGAGATTCCCTATTGCATATCATACATCCATGCAAGCCCACTCTTCCCTAGTCAATAAAGACCATAGAAAGTCATATCCCCCGTTCGAAAGCTCTTGCATATAATCCTCATTCCCTTCCTCTCCATCAAACCCACGGCCCCTCTTCAAGATAATGGACGGACCTCTTCTAGCCAGAATCCCACAGGCATCTTTGATTAAATGCGTCTAACATCGATAATATCCAGTTGAAGGGCACGTACACTCTAAAACTGCATAAAAACGGACATGATCAACAGAAGTTATCTATGAAAATGTACCATTTAAGGCACATGGAAACAGTTTGATCCTACCACAAGTTGATGTACTGAATCGTCGAATCCAGTAGAACGAAGAGATGGCTTGTGCACATAAATTCCGCGACGGAGCATTGAGACCTTCAATTTACCCCAGGCGCTCATTCTCAAATCCTTGTCGCTGTGATAAACGTATACAGCTACTCACAAAGGTATCTGCTTCATAGTGCTACCCCCTTTCAACATTATTGAATTTGCAGCCGGATAGACAGCGGATAATCACTCTGATCTTGATCTCCAGGGCGCTTCCCCTTCTTGCGCCATGAGTGCCGTGAAGCTCTGACCTGCTCTTACTCTCAACCTATCTCTGGGTCTCAACCTAAAAACAAAATTGCCAGAGTAACACATCGGAATCCGCGAATCCTCATCTGTTAAATCGATAGGAGAGATGCTAGAGTGTCATTTGTAAATAGGAGTAAAAAGGATATATTAACGCTTTGGGTATAGGGAGCGAACTTCTAAACTATGAACACGAGATGCCACTGTCCTCGAGGGAGTTATGGGCCAAGAGTAAGAACCAGATGGCCGAGAGAAGCCGGTCATATTGCAGTTTCTCTTGGCAAATATCCTTCATGCCGACTCATCTCGGGCTCTATGAGTAGTAGTAATTTTCCGCCCGTAAGTATCATCAATGTTAATTTACTTTACCAGACATAGACTTGGAATGCTTATTTTAGTTCTGTGCTAGGTGACCGCTGTGCCGCTGCTTCCTCTGCTGCTACTCTGGCTTCCATCTTTCGCCTTGCTGCCAGGATCATCTCTTCTCTTCGCCTTTGGAGTAACGCTTGTCTATCTGCCTTGTTAGCGCTCCACGCAGGAACTGAGGACTGCTTCTCCGTCAATATCTCATCCGCCACTTTGCCTGGAGGTGGGTTCTCTGTAATTTTGGCTGCTAGGTTATATCGAGTAATCAAATTAGGTGAGGCTGAAGATTCTGGCGTATTTGTCGATGACGGCTGAGGAGGCGGATTGGGAAGGATTGGTTGAAAGGAGGGCGGAGGCTGCATTGGAATAGTCAGTCAAACGTGTTGCTCTAATGCACATCCTCCCTCTATCTCTCTCTATATATCACACACTCTCTCTCTCTCGGAAGGAGAAAATTGAAGTAGACGGTGTACTAGCAGTTGAAGAAAGAGGAAAACTACAAAAGACCACACACGTGCTTACCGTATCTAAGCCGCGTCCACTCAAGATGCGTTCCGTTGTGGCCGCAACATTCCCGCCATTCCGCTGGAGATCCCACATAATACTACGCCGCGCGAGTTGAGGAAACATTTGCTGTACGCGCTCAATATCGGCTTCTCGCGCCCGTAGCCGTCGACTAGATTGCTGCTGTTGCGAAGATGGCGAAGATGACACGAAGTTCGGGTACACGAAGTATCGAATCGTAACTCCGCCCAGCAGGAGAAGGAGGAGCAGCTGCGGGAGACTGATTATTTGCTCAGCCATGCTGAATGGGCTCCAAGGAAAGGATCGGAAGAGACTAATAGGGCGAGAAAGACTGTTATAGCTACTGTGGCTACCGTTTGGGAGGGGTACCCGTAGCAATGTAACTCTATATTTGCTGGCAAAGTTCAGGTGAGACCCTTGGTAGTAATTAGTGAAGACTATGGGTTGAGTAGCTGTGAGACTTGAAGCGACAATGACAGATTAACTAGTTGATATGCCGTTTTCTCCGCCGATGTTTTTGACGTAGTCAGATGCCCAGGTAGTTTTGGGTTGATCATGTGGATTATTATGTCATTCAATACACGTGACCTACAAACTCTGCTGACAAGCAAAGCACCTCGCATCGGACGCCCAGCAACTTTCATGTTAAGAGCTAGACATTTGCCTGAATATCACTATCATTATTGAGCTCGCACAAACAGAGTTAGAAACTCTTGAGCAACAAATAGCTGCAATATTTGGGCACTATGATTACGCAGAATTCTATGAGCGTTTTCGTGATGACAATACCATTCTGACCTACCCATGCAAACAGTAAAAAAAAATACCTTAACCATTTTCTCTCTGCCAACTCGGGAAGAAACGAGCCCATCTTCTCTCAACATCGAGTCGTACTCCTTGTACACGTCGTATTCTGACTTCGGCAGAAGCAATTCATGCATTTAGCTCCCAGATGTGGGCTACGCGTTTCTGTAAAAGGACACAAGGCCAATTCTGATTGGCAACTTAACGAGGGATAAATGGCTAGAGCCTTGAATTAACATAACTTGCATCCTCAATTTTACTTGCTAATGGGGAGTTCAGACGAAAGCCTTACGTTCATGTCTAATTCAACATTCGAGCTCAGGATGACAAGATGTCAGCTTTCTTTTTCCAGGATGAGTGTGTTTAGGTGCCTAAACGTCTCGCAGTTTTTTGATATAGGGCTAACCATTATCTGAAAGATTCACGTGCTGTGTGCGCACACGACATCAAACATTAGAAAATAAATATCTATTCTTTATTAATGTCTAATTTAGCTCCCACTCATAAGTGCGTGTGGTCAAAAAGCCACGCTGCTCGGAGAAATAGTTAATAAGGTAAAACCTATCTTTATACCATATGTGTATATCACAGCTTCATGCCCAAGGCTTTTAACTACCTTGACATTTTCAGCAACTCCATTTTGGCCATTACTCCTCCCTTCCAGCAAGAGTAGTCTCAAAATATATCCCGTGCTTAGAAGAGTTCTGATATCTCGTGGTCAACTTGATTTGCAACCTTTAATTATTCAATGCCGCTATAATCAGAACGAATGGAATAGATTAAATACATAAATTACCATCAACTTCAAGTTTGTAAGATAGCTGTCAAGGCGAACTATTCCACCTACTCATGTAATCTAAGCTAGCCAGGTCACATGACCTGGCTATCAATACATAGACTTCTTTTTTTTTTTTTAATTCATATTGTATTCAGCTATCTAGCTATGACACATCTGATTATTTTATATATAAATACAAATATATAGTCCCAATTTCCTTTATTTATCTTCTAGTCTCCTCCCTTTCAGTCAGCTTTGGATGCATTCATGCATCCACTGCTTTGAAGGAAGTGGAGAGTTGCTTCTTTTCTAATTTTTGTATTATACAATATCTCTAATCTTAATGGCAGTATACCTTTAAAAGCTTCCTTTCTTTCTGTCTTAAACTTATTACAATAAAGAAGTAGGTGTTGAACAGTCTGTTTTCCCTTCCAACAAAAGTTGCAAGAGTTATCCTTCACTTTTTTAATTCGAAATAAATGGGCCCTGGTATTTCCAATCCCTGTTCTTGCTTGTATAAATGAAGATTGTGTCATTCTACTGTAATGACTGAAGTTGTATGGTCTCATTTTGATGATAGGTGATCTTTTCCTGGCTTGCACTTGATAAAGCCTTCCAAATCCTTTAGCCCTTCTACCCTCTTCCTGTCTCAAGACTTGGGTCTCCCAGTCATTTTGCCAGGCTTTGAGAGTCAGTTCCTTTGCCTTCTGCTTAAGGTAAGCAATTGTTGTGAATTTATCTCTTTTTTTGACTTTTTTCTTGGCTCCACCTCTTGCCAGATTGTCTGCTAGCTCATTCCCAGCAATACCTTCATAGCCTGGACACCAGTGTAGATGAACTTGATATTTATTGCTTTTTATTCTTATTTGATGTGAAATAAAGTTGCTAGCTTTGCTGACCCTCTGAATTGCTGCTTGACTATCAGAGAAGACCCAGATCTCTCTGGAATATTTATTGGAGACAACATATTTTATAGCTTTCAAGATACAATATGTCTCAGTATCATACATAGACTTTATTTGTAGCAGTAGGGCTCTCTAGTCAACATTTACAACTCAATACCGTGTCCCACGTATCTTTCTTAAGAAAAGCTTAAGCTGTACTTAATAGACTTAGACTCAGAAGGGGCTTAAATTATATTCTATTCTATCCTAAACAATGCGGTAACTTGTAATCAGTGTGAGGCGTGAAGCTTAGTATCTAGGCGGGCTGAGTAGTATCTTTCAATAGTCTATCTTTTTTTTAAATCATTTATGTGTATTCAGCTATCTAGCTATGACACATGACCGGTGCTATGGAAACTTGTAGGATGATTCGTTTGACGTTTGAGACACTCATACTCTGGATTTCATTTGCAAATACCACTATGAGGTATGCTTGCTTACACAAACAGTCGACCCTCCTCCTTAAGTACCCACCAAAGGGGATTTCGAAACCTTTGGTTATCCAAGCATGCCTTCGTCATCCATGTACACCAGCATCGCGAGAAATGTGATTATGTTTTACCGGATTCGAACCAGCGATCTACTGTCTCAAGTGGGATGTATCCAAGCTATCCAGACCCTACTTGGCAGACCGGCCAAGACGATGTACTACCGCACCATCCAACCATGGCGATGTTTATAGTATCGCCTGCACTCTCGCAACCGAAGTTTTGGCACGCACAAAGCTCAATTTTTAAAAACTTGTTATGGTTATTAGGTTATCTACGACGTCTTGAAGTCTGGAGCTTAATAGTCTGCGGAGCTGAGGGTAGAGCAAGGTGTGGAGATGAAATTAATTAGAATCTATATGTGTATATATACATAAAAGGATGAAGCGGTGTAACGGCTGTTAAGCCTAGGGATTCCTGTAGCCTACGCTGGCTAGCGCAGGCAATGAATGCAAGGGAATCTTCGGGAAGGATCTCGGAATACAAGGAGCTTAGAAGATACTCAATGAACCTTCTGGAAGCATACTGAAGGTTCATAAGGACAACAGGTGTATCAAGAATCTTCTAGGGTATTGTCGAGGAGTCCATGTTATTCTAGATATAGGGAGAACCTTACAGAAGAGGAGTATCTCAGAGTATATATATATTTGTATTCTAGCTATAGGAATTCTCTCCCCTAGAGAATGATAATCAATATACTATACTTACAAGATCGCCCAAGCATTTTGTACTGAAATTGTGACAGGCGGCACAGTCTATCTCTACAAGAGAAGTGTTCCTAATACCTTGCGAACGAGCCTCGGCTAATCCCTCACCGTGCCTTGCTAGCCACACTTGGTTTAGTTCACGTAATGTCTCATTGCTTACACACGCCCATCCATATTGTATATCACAACAAAACTCCTTGCAAAAATCTACCCTCTGCATCATCTTGTAAACTTATCCTAAATTTTCTCACTCTCATCCCATAGAACTGTCTCCCAGATTTGTGCGCCATGCTTTGCTTCCTCCGTCTGGTGTAAATATCGGCGTGGGCGTGTATTTGGTGGTCAACTGAGGCCAGAGAAGGTCTAAGAGAGGTGTGGTCATTGGGATGAGGATGAGCTAGTTTGTACTTTTAGATTTGATGAGGCTTAGTTATGAGTTGGTCTTTCTGCGAGTAAAAAAACGACGTAGTTGAGTAATTTGAATCACTGCCTCGTGGGCCAACTTTTTGAGTATTGCTAAATTTGACTGAACTTGGCTCTGGGAGAATGTTTCACTGCCAGGTTCGCAGAGGACACCACGTACAGTTGTTCAGTCTTGCCCTCCCAATGGTCTATCGCTTCGGCGTCAAATGAGGTGCGACTCTGTGGAGCTGAATGATAAGGAGAGGCCAGAAAAATGCGTTTTATAACTTTAGAACTTTTTATTACAGATACAAATTGGTGTGAGCCTGGGAATTTGATTAGATGCAAGTCATGCGTTGAGACCAATAACTTCAAAGAGAAGTAACATTAGAGCTGTAGATACATGTTTTATGAAACCATCGTGTAACTTCAGTGTGGCTAGCCTTGCCGGTCGCACAATAAATAAATAAATAATGACTGTTTTTTGACCTCGCTGGCAATGATCAATTCTTCACTTTCCAGCGGTGCCGGTGTAAATGCCCCGGAAGCTGCGCATATCCGGTAAGGCCAACAAGGACCGCGTCTGATGTCCTCACTCCCATGAGGATTTTTGTTGGAAATGGAGACACAGTATTTTGAACTTAAGGGCACTCCATTTCGTCTAGGCTCTCGACAAGATCTTATTTTTAGTATATCGGAAAGTTGAGTGTGTGATGGGGTAGCGTTTCAGGCTACATAATTGATAAATGAGCTGCTGCATGGTGTTGGCGCGAGGAGTTTTCTATGCCTGCATGGCGCCACAATCATTTATGTTATGACTGTGACGGGCTAGGACTTTCGACCAATGAACGAAAGCAATGCCACAATTAAATGTCTATATTTTCTATGAGGAATTGAAGAGCGGGAATCTACGGCTCTTTATAACTACTATCCCTATTACAGATCCCCTGGCCCTTTACACGTAATCTGATAATTCTCCTGTATAGTGAGAAGATCTACAAACTCGGCTGCGCCTACAAGATAAGGATGGGCTCATAACCTGTTTTGGTTATGAGCTGTGAGGTGTGTGGCAATTATGACTCTGCTGTCTGTCGGTGGAGTGGAATGGGCTCATGTGAGATGGTGAGTCGCGGAGATCGCACGATGGACACTGAGT